GTCTTCCACTCGAGCCCTCGCAGCCCCCTGCAGCCCATGACGTCACCGCTCGCCTCCCCATCCCTCCCATGACGTCACCGCTCGCCTCCCCATCCCTCCCATGACGTCACGGCCCTCGCCCCAGCGGCCCGTGACGTCATCGCTCCTCTCGTACCCCATGCGCATCTTGGTAGGGGCCTGGCCGCTGCCGCCCGCGGGGCCCGGAGGGCGAGGGGGCAGGCGGCCGAGCTGCAGCTGCTTCTCCAGGGCGGACATGGCGAGGGAAGCGCGGGCCAGGGAGCAGCGCAGCGGCCGAGGGGCGTGGAGGATCCGGCCCCCGCCTTCCAAGAAGGAGCCGCCGGCCCGCCGCTCCCAGCAGTCCTTTCGCGTTCGCCGGAAGGGAGGAGCTCCTGCCCCGCGGCATGCCGGGAAACCTAGTCCGGCTCGACGCGGTCGGGGGACGGTCTTGGACGCATGCCGGAACTTTTCGAAGGGCACCCTGGGAAACGGAGTACTAAACGGAGTACTGAAACCCAAGCGGAGGTTGTTCTGCGAAGAGATGAGCTGGAACCATAGAGATAATAAATTATAGAGACATACGACCCCTTTCTCTCGGCTTCTTTCTTTGAGTCGTTGTAACGAAGCAGCGCCACACTTTCAGAGAAGCCCGTCTAGATTTCAAAAATTTCAAAAATTTCAAAACATCTGCATCATCCCAGCCCTGTTGTATGATGCCTGAAGAAAGACGCGCCTCTGCCCTTAAACTTTGCTGCAGCTGGGAGACGAGACGCAGGGGCAATGGCGGAAGGAGAAGAACCTTTGCATGTCGGGCCGACTTAGTTGGACTACAACTCCCATGCTCCAGGGCCAGGCTGGGAGACAGCGAGCGCTGTAGCCCCATCCGACAGACTTGGAAGGCAACCAGGTTGCGGAGGCGGCTTTCCTCCCCCGACGCCGGCTAAGGAGGCGGTCTTGCCCTAACAAGGGACAGGGACATATTTAGGTATTTACCCAAAGATCAGTCTTCATTATTTTCTCACTCTATAACAGTGTTTTTCAACCTTGCAACTTTAAAATGCGTGGAAAGTCCACCCATGAAGTCCACATGAGTCCACACATCTTAAAGTCCACACATCAAATCCACGCCTCTTAAACTTGCCAAGGCTGAAAAACCCTGCTCTGTGCCAAGCTGAGGGTTTCTATCCGTTTGAATTCGTACGTCTAGGGTCTCTCGCAAAGGCTCCTGGGGGCCGTAGTTGAAGCGGCGGCCGCTCGAGCAAGCGGACCTCCCGCCATTTCCCCAGAAGGCCGCGCGGCGGCGGCACCCGTTGCTAGGCAGCGGATC